TTTTCCTGTCGTCTTCCAGATTGGTGTAATAGGTACGCAAATAAAGTCAGAGTCGGTCCTACCCTGATTGCTGTTCTCCTGTCTGTACTCGCATGGTATGGGGAGGAGAGGCTGTGTGAGGGCCTCTGTGCTGGGCGTGTGGAGAAAAGCTGCTCCTTTTCACAACCACTGCACTTGTGTACCACAGAAGAGTGGACAAGTAGGGTCCTGGTGTAATTAACGTAGAGATGCTGCAAACAGCAAGAAAACCTCTCAAACTGTTTGCTCACTGGCATGGTTTTGGAAGATGTTCGTACTTCAACACAAATTCCTTTAATTAGTTAAGACCTGATCACCATGCGATTCTTACCTGTCAAAACTGGAAAACTATTTTGGATGAAGATAGAAGTAAAAGTAACGCATGGTATTTACAAACGTGCTAAAAAATGACTTTGAAATAGTAGAGTTACACTGAGACACCTCTGTGAAACACGGTATGTTTAGGCTAAGGTTTGATGGCAGGCTGAGCTGCCCTGAGGGCTGCAGGGCACCCGTGGGCAGTGGCAAATTTCCATGGCTTGCCCCACACGTGCCCACCACTGCCCTTGTCTGGCCACTGGTGCTCATCGGAATGTGTGGTAGCCAGTTCAGAAAGCTAGAGCATCAGAACTCTGATCTTGTCCAGAAAAGTGAATCTTTTCCTGCGAGCGTGGCTGGCCAGGCCTGCTCGCCCAGGCTCAGCGGTGTGGGTGGGGAGGGGCAGGAACACGCAGTCAGGGGAGAGGAAGGAGACAGGACTCCTGCTTTGGCAGCAGATCTGTGCAACTGAAAAGTCATGCTGCGTCCTGAGAATAAGGTTCGTTGTACTTAGGTGTTCAAATAGGGTATCCTCCCATTTTATTTAGAGCAAGTATTTTTAAAAATTTGAAGTACAATTTGACACTCTTCTTTGGTTGAAGTCTGTGATCATCTTGTAGTAAGACTGACTGGCCTGTTTCATACAGAGCTTCTTGTTGTTTTCAGTTGCTGCTTCTCCCTTGTTATTAGGAATGTACTGCTTCTTGTGAGGAAAAAATCTCAGAGAGAATGCCCAAATCTCAGCACAGATGTTTTTTCAGTATTGCAAGCATTCCTGTTAACACTGCTGTTCATTCTGATAGGGATTTAGTACATGTTGTACCATCTGGTTTCTAGGTACCTGATGAGTCTGGGTTTGCTCTCCGGTCTGCAAACAGGCTAGTGCTCAGATGAAGGAACACAGTTTTTCATGGCTTAAGCGCAAGTGGATGAAGGAGAGGAGGTGTCAGCCAAGCTGATGTAGATTCTGGGGCTCTGGAGGGAAGGGGTCAGCGGAGCACGACTGGCACCACAGTGGAGAAAAAGGGGCAGCAGCTGTGGAGGGCGAGGTTTGCTGGGGGTCGTTGGGACAGGCAGGTGGTGGCACAACCATCATTTTGAATGCTGTTTTCTGTGGGACTGGACTGAATTGTCTTCAGCACAGAACAGACCTGTGTAACACAGTACAGCCAAAGGATGGCACTGGTCATTTACTTGTGTATTGTTTCTCATAAACATCTGGTAGGAACCTATCACCCATAGCCCATGGGGAAACAGCTGGCTTGACACAGAAATTTTGCTGGCAACCTCTAATCTAAGGTAGAATATTAAGCATTGTAGGAAATGAATTCTTTTTCATCTGCTTAATTATGAAATCAGTTCATGAGAATGAAGTGACATGTTAGGTTGCTCTGCTATTTCAGTTGTGCAGATAGAGCCCAAAAGATATGTTAAAAAATTGCCATCCTCTTATATGACATCTTGTTCACAGGTAGATATGCTTCAATTGCAATAGTATTTGGGGGTGCTGCTCTATACTGGCTTTCTGAAGGCTCCCCTATTTCCAGTTTGTATTCAGGAAGAGGTAACTTTTCTCCAACAAGCATCTGAGCAGCTATTCTAGCATCAAGAAGGACTAAGAAATTGCTATTAGCTTGTGTTTACTAGTATATCTATTTTAAAAGTTGGTTGGTAAACCTGGAAGATTGTTTTGTAGTGACTGTGCAAGTACAGAATGGGAAAGCAAATTCTGACCAGCTAGTGAGGGTGGCTGGGCAGATACATGTCATCATTGCATGGCGAGGCAGAGTAGGCAGGCTGTGAAGCCAAGCTTGGGTCAGAAGCTAGGAATGGATCTTCTGCACAAATGGCTCATCGATACTATTTGTCTTGCCAAAAAATACTGTGAGGATCCTTTTAATAGCTCCAGAGAGTCTTCAGGAAGATTGTCTCTGTTTTTTGTGAAGGAATCTTGCATATTGAAACTGAACTTTGGCCACTTTTAAATGGATGCCTTAAAGCATCATGCAGGTTGCCAGAACGATGATCGTTACTTTAGCACCTCTATTAGGGCAGGATTTATAAGTATCTGTTGCACATTTATAACAATTGCTGCCCAAGGTGGGTATGTTAGTGTCAGCTGTTAATGCTACTCATGATTTTTGCTCTTCTTTTACATCTCTGTAACTGTTATTTGCAGAGCGTTAGAACTCTCTGGGATCCCTGACAGAGAGTGCTGCTGGGGTGCTTCATCTGTATTCTGCCATTACTATCTAACGAGTTTCCACTTGTCCTTCATGCTGCTCATGCCATAAAAGCAAATCAGGCTTGCATGCCAGTACTGACTGCAGCCCTATGGAGAGCAGTTATTTCCTTTTGAGTAATTATTTCTTATTTCCTTTTTATTTCCTCCTCTCATATTGATTATTATCATAGTAATACAGGCTGGTCTGGGAATTTCCTTTCATCAGAGTAAAATTCCTATCCATCCATTATCCCTTTATTATTTCAATTTCCAGTAGCACTGGGACAGGCAGCATAGACGTCCCTGAAATATAGAAGTATCAATCGGACCCTTTTGGTATTTATTTTAGTAGTGAAATAACCGCAGCAAATCTAATGGCAAATAATTGTAGACATACAGGCCAAGAATTTATTAGTACTTCATGTGTTGTCTCCTAACACAGCAGGGGCACTGCAGCGTGGGACTGTGCAAAGGTATGTTAAAACACCTGAAGATTTACATTAGCAAAGAAAATTCCCCCAGCTCCTGTGTCCTCGTCCTATGGAAGAGGCCACCTCTAAGTGTGAGAATGCCATTGTATTTTCAATCATATTCATTGAAAATGTCATCACTAGCTGCAAAATATTTTCTAGCCTGTTCTTACTTGCCTTGCTGTTCACTTGCCTTTGCCCTAAAAATAGAGTTGTACTTTTAATGTGTTGGGAACTGGGGAAGCTTTAACCCCTCCACAGTCACTCTCCATTCTGAGCTCAGGCAAGCTCAAGTTCACTAGTTTAAAGTGAGGTCTGGAATGAGGACAGCTATAGTTTTTCCACAGCTGAGCTGGGTGAGTGAGTCTACTGGGTTTTTCTAAGTGAAAATTCTTTGTGAAGACTTTAGTGTTAGACTGGTCCTCCTCCTGCCTCTTTTTTACAGATTTTTTTTTTTCTTTCCTGTTTGTGAGTACAATGCTTGTGTTTTATCAGTCCTGTCTTGGTATTCAGTAAATGCCATGTTATGATAAAGATTATGATAAATTATGGCACTAAGTATAGTAATAAATGTAAGCATAGTGTATATAGGCTATTGTGGAGGAAATTAGTTTCTGTTCTACAGTTTGGAAAGAAAAAAAGTCATGCATGTTTTATGTAGAAATATCCTTATCATCCTGTGGTATCGCTTTATTCTCAGATGAAAAAGCTCTAGAGTTTTGTGCAGGAAAGCCTTTTTAATGGATGGCATTGTCCAAATTAATCAAGCGATAATGGAAATAATTTAAAGTTTTGAAGTAGAATAATAAAATCACGGAAGTTCTGTAAGTTTTTTTATGAGTTTCTTCAGTCTGTTGCACTGATTACTTACAACTGAGAAGGTAGAGCAAAGCAAGCAGTGAATTTGAATAGGTATGTATGTGAAGTGCCTTGGAATCCTGATCTTTGAGTATATGTGTAAAGAAAATAGTTTCAAGAAACTGGTCTGTTTCTCTAGCCTATCACACTACATTTTAAGGTGCTTTAAAACATTTCTCTCTACTGAGCATGTTTGATTTTAAGACAGTTTTAAAATGTGTCTTTCAAAGGAGTCTTGGCCTTTTGATTGGTGTCTGTTGTAGCGTGTGCTGGAGTGCACGCAGATACACAAAAAGTGTGGTATGGGAATCCTCTCCTCTTCGAAAGAACCAGTAATTTCTAGTATTTGGAGAGTTTAGAGCCTGCTGGCATGTACTCATGCTAAACATGTTTATGTTTTTGAGGAATCTGGTGAGTGTTCTGTGATGCTGTGAAGTTATCGTCTGCTTCTGCTCCTGTGGGAATGTTACAGTATTGGCCATAGGGCTCTATGAATTGTCACAAAATGAGCAGTTAATTCTTGACATCTGCTATGCTGAAGTGACTGCCAAGTTGTGTTGGTAGTTGGCAAGGAAATAAATATTGATAGACCCTAGCAACAGGTACTCCTGAGAACTCTTGTTCTGGGAATGCTTAGGCCATGTCCAGTGTTATTAATGTTGTGATAGCATTTTAAGTTTATTTATAGGATTTGTTTGTGTCTTATCACCATCTCTCAGAACTGGAATGCATGAATGGGCTTTGCTGTGCGAGGGCATAGACATGTATATCATACACCCTCCTCTGGTGACTCATTTCGACATATAACAGAAGCTCCACTGTCCAGATCTCAGGGGTAGCTGATGTTCATGGATGTTTGACATCTCAAGTATGTGCTCATATCTAGACTATTGTATGTTTGCTGTCTATCCTATGCTGGAATGACTACTCCAGACCTATGTACATATAAGGGTGTCACATACAAGAATTTCTTTCCTTTTAGTAATATACTAACAAAACATTCATATACCAGATCCTCTGAGAATCCACTGGATAAAATTAGCTTGCTTATATTGAGAAACCACTAACTCTTGTGAGCACTGTAAGTGAACAATTTTATGTTCTCATTGCAGAAATTGAAGCCAGAGAAGCCTGCAACTGGCTGAGAGCTGCTGGTTTTCCCCAGTATGCTCAGCTATTTGAAGGTATGATTCCTTAGACTGTTGGGAGTTTTTTACGAGTCACTGATTGCAACCAAAACTCACCTAAGGCTCTCCAGCATGTGGTGTTGACCAAGATTATTTTATTGCCATTTTGAAAAAGAACGTTGGAAATATCATCTTGCACTCATAAGTTTTTAAAACAGATAGTCAGAAGCAGCCAGACAGTCAAACAATGCAATTTCAGCATGTTTTCATGTCATTAAAGCTACAAAGAGTGCTCATTTCTTGTGGGGGAGCTCTGGATTTGTTGAGAACTTGTATAATTTCCAGACAATACTTATGCTCCTACCTTAAAACTGTTCCTTAAAATATTTTTATTGTTACAAACATTGAATGTAACAAAACCTAATCTATTTTTAAGAGAGATTTTATCAAAGAACTATAGTTAAAAGAACTAATGGTAACTTCTGCTTGCTCTCATTCTCACCTCCCCTGTTCATTGCAAAATTAGAAGTTGGAAGTCAAGTAATAGAGCCAAATTTGAAATTTGTATACTATGAAACACAATGTCTCATGGAAATGCTTCCTGTTTGACTATAGCAGATTTCATTATATAAGCTGTCAATCTTATAGTTTGTTGGAAATGTACATTGTCATGCTTCTGGGAAATGAATCTGCTATATTGTCTTGCTCTTTATGCAGTGTCCTGACTTGACTAGGTAAATTAAGCTTAAAAAGTAAGTGAAGAAAATACTGATGGATCTCACTGTCTCCCTCATCTGCAAGGCTAAATCTCAGCAGCTGAAACATTGAACTCCTGAGCTGGTGTATTGATTAGCTTCAAGCACAGCATGATTTGTCAGGCTCACTATGCCCCAAAAGAGCATATGTCACATGCTGCATTGTACCTTACCATCAGCAAAAGCTCAGGTAAAATACTCCTAATTTATACTGTAGTTGAAGGCAGAAGGTGCAGAGAAGCTAACCAAAGCAAAACTTTAATTTTATATTTCTTGGATATAGTACTCAGTCACTGCAAGCTCTTGGAAATGCAGCAAATGCTTGTCTACTATCCCTGTAACTAATGACAGCAAGCAGATACCTACTTTTATTCTCCTACTTGCTCAGAAGAACTGATCCTCACTTGAAAGACGTTTGTGTGAATATATAGTTATAGCAATATATTTAGATTTATTTCACCTATGACAAACGTTGCAAAATTCACAACCTTTGCAATTATAATTCAGATTTCAGATTCAACTTCTTTGTTTACAGATATGCAGTTTCCCATTGATGTAAAAACTGTGAGGAAAGATCATGAATTTTTAGATGGAGATGCGATTGAATCACTATTCAGGTAAACATTAATCATCTTTAATAACTTCAGGCTCCATTGTTATTTGTCATTTATTTTTTCATGCCTTAGTTTTTGTCAGAGACTAACAAAGTCACCAAAGCTGTGACTGAAGAAAATCACTTAAGCACATACTGTAGTACCGCTGAGGCTGGTTTGTTTTAAGAATTTAAAGGTAGCGTAAGCATGTATCTGCATGTCTTCTTCAGCCAAGGTCTCAATGACATTTTACTAAGCATCAAATCTGTCTTTTCTGCAATGTGAAATGTCTGCAGGCTGAGAAAGAATCATCAGTTGCCTGCAAGCATACGGTAGCATGACAGTTTGTTCTTTAGAATTGCATATTACAGCGTGCAGGGATTTCCTCTGACTAGTGAGGTTCCCCAGAGCTGTTCCAGGTGATAAACAGCAAAAGTGATCTGCACAAGAGATAGATGTGTTTTCTGTTTTGTTTTCCTGAATATTTTTTTGAGAAGCAAAGGTATTGATTTGAAATTAGTGTTTGCCACGGCTGTTCACAGCACACAAGTGAAATTGTATTGTCAGTGCAAAGTCATACTCACTGCTCTTTGGACTTTCCCTATGTCAGAGTGCCAGGATAGTGTAGTGGCATTCTACTTACTGCAGTTACTGAAGCCTTTTCATGATGAGATTGTTTAGCAGGTGAAGTGAACTCCAGACTAGCCATGCCACACTGCTTGTCCGACCCAAGGGAATGCAATAAGAAATTCTAACTCTTTAGGGGCTGGAAAATTCCTCTTCTGGCAAAGTGATTTGGTCGTTCTCTGTATTGTTAGGTCACATGAATTCAAATTATGTTTGTAACAGGAACACCAACAAGAGTTGTTTACATATACAGCAGATACTAGACAACTTTGGATATATTTTGTTTCTTGGTATGACTTTTGTCCTGAGTGCTCCTTGAAGGCTGTCAGTGTGTCTCCCTGTTGATGCCACGTATTTGTTTGACGGTTAAGTGTCTGATTAGTTTGGGGCCTTATTGATTCCACAAGTTTTAATTAAAATTATAGATAATAAAGTCCTTCCAAGGATCCAGGTTAATGTCTTATTTTTTTATTATTTTTTAAGAAGTCCACTCAGAGTTTCTTTCATTTTCAAAATCTTAAATCAACATACAGTTTTTCACAATCATTAAAACTCATTATATGATCTTGAATTAACTGATTAATTATGGTCCTCTTCTCTATTTTTAAGATGGCAGAACTGGAACTGTGAACATATGGGGTTGTTAGTTGGCACTGGCCTTGTCAAAATGTAGGGAGAGCCAGTAACATAATGTCAGTCTTTGACACCAGTAAGAAGACTCCATGGTAGAAGTTCACAACTAGTTTGGTGTGTGTTTGTTTCCAGGAAACAAAATAGTTTCAAATTAAAACTTGGGTCTTTTTCTTATACCCTAGACGGTTGAACACATTGAACAAGTGTGCATCCATGAAAGTGGAAATAAGCCATCAGAGGAAGCGGGTATGTTTTAAAAATATAATTAGCTTTCCCATTAAAAATGTGTTTAGTTATTATATCAAAAATCTATTTTTAAAAGGTGTATGAAGGATTAGCAATTTCTGAACTTTTCTTTCTATTCTCTTCCATCCTGCAAAGCTCTTCCGTTTGCATTTTCTGCTGAAAAACATAGTGATGGACATTGAAATTATGCAATGTTCATTTTGTAACTTTGTAACGTAGATTAGGGGTGGGTTTTGAAACAGTTCTAAAAATAATTTGACACACATTACTGTCTAATAGCTGCACCAAGGCCCCACATCAGCATGTCCTTTATCACTTTTCCAAATAGTTTCACATCTTATTTAAGGCCTGAATGTGAAATGTCACTCTTATTGACTAAATGAAGGATAAGAAATTAAAATGAACAATCTAAATAGTGTCAAACAATGCTGAATGTCTAGCCAATAGAAGTTAGATAGGTTTTAGCTGTGCTGGCTTTGTCCTCTCCTGCAAAAAAGCACTGTAGCTAAGATAGTTACAGCCACATCTTGGCTGGTTAACACCAGGATTGTAAAGCCTCTTAGGTACCACGAATTGACTGCAGCCCTAGCAAGAAAATAATATAATCTTTTGGAAAAATACCTAGTTTTTTGGAAAGTTCCACTCTGCTGTCAGGAAAGAGGGGACAAGAGAGGTTCCACAGAGAAGAGACAGGTCATTCCCGCCTCTCTAGCAGGTTGGTGGCCAGGCGCTCACTTGGGATGGGGACTGTGGAGCAAATGGGGCACGCAGGGCGGGGGGACAGTGGGGCTGAGGCCTCACAGAGGCTGCACCAGATATTGATGCTGCCAAATGCTTCTTTACCTATAAATGGATACGTTTTGGTCACAGAAGCATGAAAGAATGTTTGAGTTGTCTGGATTTACGTGAGGCCATGTAAAGCTAAAACAATTGTCTTTCAAAACCTTTGGATTTCCTGCAAAACAGAATTTTTCATCATCAGATCAAATCTGTCATCTTTTCCTGTGGTAAATTTACCAGATTTGTCAGCATGCTTGGGAGTAATTTGTCAGCTTGATTTTCAACTAGCAGAAGAGAGCTCAGGGCAGACCTTCAGTAACTGAATGATTACATTTCTGTATGTTGGTGTTGGGAGGTTTTGGAGGTAGGCACAAAATTTAAGTCTCCTTTTTTGTTACAGTTTTTGGTAATTTAAAGTTTGACAAACTTTACCCTTGAACTTTACTTTTTTTTTTGTTTTTTTTCCCCTGTCTAAGAGTGATGAATCTGAAGATGATGAACCTTGTGCAATAAGTAACAAATGGGCTTATGAGAGGTGCAGTCAGAGATGGTCTCGTATCGAGAGCCTAGAAGTTGTCCCAGGAGAGGAAGGTGCTAGTGCATCAGTCCCAGGCAGTCCAATACTGACTAGCATCAGCAACAAGGACACTGTCTTTCTGGATCATAGCGAGAAACATGATGTGTCCTCAATTCACAGTACTAGCAGTGGTGACAGTGACATTGTTAACTTCCCAAAACCTTTTGAAGATGTGGAAACCAGCAAGAGTTCCTCAAGATGTTCCTCAGTTAAAGTGGCTTCACTGGACTCTGTTTTTAGTTGTTCTCCTCCCCCCAGTGAATTTTTACACATCACCAGTGAGGGGAAGCTTTTGGATAAGTCACCATATAAAAAGAGGAAGAGCCTTCTAAAGAAAATGGAGAAGTTGCACTTACGGAGCTGCAACTTAAGGAGTGGTCAGTCAAAGGCCAAACCCATAATAAGTGAACCTGTTCTTCTGGAAGGACTTAATGAAGAGAAGATGAAGATGCTGAACTGTGTAAATATTTCTGACCTCTCTGGCATCCAAACAAAGAACAGTTCTTCCTTTTCTCCCCAGAACTGCGATAGCAGTAACCAGTCTGAAAATAGCAGCACAGTGAGCGCTCCAAGTCCTGTTATAAAACCACGAAGCCACGGTGAAGGAAGGGGGATGTATGCAGAGCACTTAGATTCTAGCAAGCTCTTGCTGTGGAATGATCTGTCTCAGCAAAACCTGAAAAATGACATGAAGTTACAAATGAACCAGATGTTTCAAATACCACAAGGCCATAAACCTGGCACTTTCCCCAAAGCACTTACAAACAGCTCCCTGTCTCCAGTAGACAACTCTTCCATCAACTGGAGAACTGGGAGTTTTCATGGGTGCAGGAGGAGCCGGAGCAGAAGCAGTTCCAAGGACTCCAAAGCCCCCAGGAGCCCCCTTTCATGCACAGATAACAGACTAAGTGTATATGACAACATGCCCAATATTGAACTTGATAATTTGGAGGCCACACAAGTTGGTGATGATGATGTTTTTTCAGAACTAAACAATGTTATAGAAGATATCAACGGTCTCAAAAAATTGGTTGATCAGTGGACAGAGAAGTTCTCTGATGATGGGGATTTGGACTTTGCCAGTGACTTGACCTCTTTGTGTCCATCCTCACCTAAAGAAATCTGTCTTGAAACAGAGGGCTCAGAAGATAAGACAGCAAACCTCCCAACCACTGAGGGAGAGAGCAGCTGTGAACTGGGCAAGGAGATCAGTTCTGCAGACCTGGCATACATGACAGACTCTAAAAAGACCAACAGGTCAGCTATCCTTGGGTTTCCCTAGTAGACTGCTGCTTGGGAACCTTTCCCCATTGATTCTCTCCACTCAAAATGTAATTGCTTTTCCAGAACAATGTATTCTTAAGTAAGTCTGTTCTGGGTAGCAAGGTCTGCACTGCTGGTGCCAGGTACTGCTGGTCTGTAGGCACTCTGGTATCAGCTCTGACCTCTGTTGAAAGTAGGGTGCTCATGATCTGCATGAACACATCAGACTTTGTAGCTAGCTTCCTGTATTTCTTATTGAAACATTTTGTATTGCCAGAGTACCTCCTGGATGAGAAATACCTTGTTGAAATGCAGCTAACCATATGGTGCTTGGGAACTGTAGGTTATGTAGAGTCTTAGGTCCTTCACAGATGCACGCAAAAAACTAACAGGACAATGGAAATAGTCATAAACTTAAACAATATTTATCCTGTAGGCATGGGAAGCAACACTGGTCTGTGGAAGAGAGTGTCAACTTGGAAAGCCTTTCCCTCCAGACTGATCACCAGTCAGCCGCCCAGCTAGCCCGGACACAAAAGCTGGCTTTGTTGAAACTCACTGCTTTAATGGACAGATACTCCCCTTCTAGTAAGCAGGGCTGGAACTGGTAAGTTGTTTAATATTAAAGCAACCTGTGTTGGTAAAAGAGGCTTTGATATAAGCAGGTGAATTTCCTTGTCTGCTTAGATTACACATGTTCAGAACGAGGAATTTCATCCTGTTAAATCGCTGGCAGTTTCATGGTTATTTCAGTGGCTCCAGGATTTCCTCAGCTACGGACTGCACTTTTGCTCCTCGCTGGTGATCATGTTGTTACTGATTTTAAAGCACATTATACTTTCTCTCTAAATTTGCCCATTTGCAGGGCTTTGCCAGAGGTCCTTCACAGAGCTTTCGGGACTTGAGGTGATATCTGGCTGGGCTGAGGATCCATCTCTTCAGTGTCAAGTCCTAGTGACAAAGTCAGTCACTCAGAGGACTTAGAAATGCCATTTAGCATGTTGTGATAGGGATCTGGTACTTGAAAGAAGTGAAAAAAAGCCTGCAGTGTCTTAAAGGGATGGAACATATTTCACATGAGGATGCTTTATTAAAGCCAATTTCAATTTTGAAATGCGTAAGACATTCCAGTAATTGCCCTTAATGATTTTCTCTCTATTTTATGATGATATGTGTACAGATATGCGTTAGAATTTGGGGTTGTGGCAAGTGTAACTAAATCCTTTCCCATGCATGTAACTAAAGTACCAGGCAGAACTGTGCTGGAGAGCTAATAAATTGCGTGCACTGTTTTTTGTTTTCAGGACTATACCAAAGTTCATTAAAAAAATAAAAGCCTCTGACTACAAGGACAAAAATGTGTTTGGGGTTCCTTTACTTCTGAATGTTGAGCGAACAAGCCACCCACTGCCTAACGGCATACTGCAAGCACTGGACTATTTAAGAAGCCACTTTCTTGACCAGGTACGAACTTGAGGCAGCCCAGAGCAGCTCTGTTCCCTAAACAGATCTGCTCCAGGGAACCAGCCTCTACTTCCAGCTTTTGTGAGGGACTTTCTTGCCTCCTAAGGCTATGAATAGTCAGAAAGTGTAGGTCTGAGCAGGTGGCCTGCGAGGAAATACCAGCGCTGTTTCTTTATGGGAATACCTTTAGTCCTGCATTGTATTTTTGTGCCTTGCCTCACTGAACTCATCTGCAGTCAGTTCTCTTGGTGCAGGCAGTCAGGGTGTCTTCTCCTGGTGAGGCAGCATGTCTCTGCTCCCTTAGGGAGTAGATCTACCACACAGTGTTGTTATTCCCTTTGTTCTGTGATTGCTGGTAGTGTCAGAGCTAATGTGATAATTAATCTTCTTTCAGCCAAAATGTACCACTAAACAGAGATAAAACATATTAGAGCAGTGCCTGTAACATCTTTCTCTGGATTTCAAAGCCATATTTATCCAATAAGTAAGTGGAGATGTGTTGCAAATGCTATTTCCATAGCACAATTTCAGAAATGGGACACTCTGTGACATGAGACATGTTAGCTAAAGAAAGGGCTTTATTTATTTTTTTTTTTCCCCCTGTGCTTTGCAATTGTACAGGTGTGTAGTATCATGCTAAGGTACAAAAATGTGTGCATCCTGTGAAGTTACAATGCAATTTAGTTGCACATACTGGAGTGTGAGCAGTCAGTTTCTTAGGAAGGAAGTGTATTTAATTTTGAGGTCATAGTACCTATTAAGTTAATATAAATAAACAGATTAATGTCTCTGGCACACAGTGAAACTTTCAGCAGAAGCTTTGTTGAGGTCGAGTTCATGGGAAACTCCTAGGTTTTGTGTGAAACTTGATTGACATTCATATGAAAAATAAAATCATAATTTCCCTTAGAATGGAAATTGCCCTTTGCCAAGCTGTAGATGTATCAGATGTGTCAGATGTTAAACCTGAACCTCGTGGATCTCACAGTCTGAGTTTGATTGCACCAGCATGGGCATCAATGTGCATTTGCTTTTGGATGAACATACATCAGCGCATTAGAAACCTGCAGTTCTAATGTGTGAACATGGCCTGCTCAAGCAAACTGACAGATGTCAATAGTAATGATTTTAAAAGTCAAAAAGAATAATTTTGCATTAAATAAAAAACAAGCAAACAAACATGAAAATTGGTATGTCTTTCACAGATGGTTCTGTGGACATCAGTCATGGTTTGCCTGGGAGGAATATCTATGCTGCTTCTGATGATAAAATAATATTCTGGTGTTAGATCCCCTACCATAGAGTCTTAGCTATCAAAAGGAAAGTGAAAGATCAATTATTTGTCAGAGGTTTGATTCCAGATGACTCCTTTCTTTGTTGTTAATATTTTCTTTTACCCACAGGTTGGCCTGTTCCGAAAATCTGGTGTTAAATCCAGGATTCTGTCTTTAAGAGAAATGAATGAAACCAACCCAAACAATGTATGTTACGAAGGGCAGTCGGCATTTGACGTGGCAGATATGGTGAAGCAGTATTTTCGAGACCTTCCTGAGCCTATATTTACTAGCAGGCTCTGTGAATCCTTCCTCCACATCTACCAATGTAGGTACCAAAAGCTACAGTTTTCCAATTCCCTGAGTATCTTAATATTCAGCTGTACAAGGCAGTGGCCAAACCAGGAGTAGTGCCATGTCCCCTTGTAGTCAGAGGAGACAAATCTTTCTGAAAAGATGAGTTCATTGTGGTGCTGGACTTTAGAGCTTCACATCTGCATCCCATGGGCTAGCTATTTTCTAACATTGTGTCTTTTCTGATCTTTGAACAGTCATTACTGCAGTAAGGTATGTTGTAGCAGCCCTCCTAAACGGTGCTTTCAAACAGTCATTTCCTTAGGCAAAAATAAGACAGACTCTAGTACCCTTGTTCATGGTATGAAGTACCTCCTTGTGCAAGAAGTCATGTTATATTGGTGAAATTTGGTTGTTAAGGTGTCCAAGCACAGCTGCTGTGAAACAGCATCTTTGCCTGGAAACAACAGCAACTTTCTGCCTGTGCTCTCACTGTTACCATCCTTGAGACTCAACCCGAGAAAGAAGGAAACGTACAGTTGAAATCTAGTATGGAATACAGTTTTAAACAGGTTCCATCTCTCGTACTTTGCTATCAAGAAATTCGCTTTCAAAAAGCAGCTGAGTTGGAGAAGGAACTTGCTGTAGGGGCTATAATGATGTTGCTACAGACAAATTTCTTCTTTTGAGAAAATGTTTTGAAAGTCAAAGTGTGAGATTTCGGAGTGGACTGGTTTTCAGCCTGTTTTATGTGATTTAATTGATACGAGTAAATAAGCTGCTGCTGTCCTGTGTATGGTATAGGTTTGTGAAAGTTTGGTTGGGTTTTATTTTGTAACCTGTCAGGCCTTTGTATTTTTGTCCGAAAATGGTTTGTTATTTGTTTGAAACAAGTTTTCTTTTTCTATCTACAAATCCTTTTTGTAAGGAGGTTCACAACTCCCGTGTCCAAAGGATATGAAACAGTTTTCTTCCATTTATTATAACCTGGCCACGGTCCACCTCCCGTCTCTTGATTTGGCATAGAAACAGCAGATGACTGGATTCTACTCACTCATCTTCTGCCACATGTGACTTGAGCAACTTCCAAGATTAAATTATTATCTTTAGGAGATAAGAAATGTGCTTCTTTCACCAAGAAGCATGTTTTGTATGTTCTACGTATGTGCTTCTACTTGAAGGGAAAGATAAATTATCATCTATCCTTAATAGTAGTGTAAATTGGAGAAATCCCCATGACAGGGGGCTGCATGGCAGGATGAACCATACCTACGCTCCTGCAGGCACTGTTTGGGCACACAGCCTCACTGGGTTTTACTGTGAATTAAAATCTGTTGGCAAAATGTTGTTTTCTGAATAGAGTTATCTGAGAGCATCTGTTCTCTTCATTCCTGAAGCTGAAGGGAAAAGACAGTAGAGTAGCTACCTGCTCCAAAGGATCATTCCAGAGTAATATTTTCTGGGGATGCAAGCCCTTATTTGTATTGTAACCAGAGCCAGTTCAGGATAAGTTCGTTAGCACGGTGTTCAACATAAATTGCAAGTCAAGCACCAGCATCACTGCGTGTGAATGTGCATCTTGACAGGCAACAGGAGAAAACTGTATTTGTTTGATGTGACTGTGGTAATGGCCTTTGCCTTGTCTGTTGTAAGCTAGAGTGACAGGAAAATGGATGAACCTACAGTTTCAGTGCCCTGCTTGGGACTTTCTTGATGGATGCTTCCTCTGCAAGTCATGTGTGATTTTCATAATTTTTTTCTGTTTTCAGACGTGCCGAAGGATCAGCAGTTTCAGGCTGTCCAGGCTGCTATTCTCCTTCTCCCAAAGGAAAACCGAGAAGCTTTGAAAATCCTCCTGTTCTTTCTGCGAGACGTGGTTGCTTTTGTTGAGGAAAACCAGATGACCCCAACCAACATTGCTGTCTGTCTTGCACCTTCTTTGTTTCACCTCAACACCCTGAGACGGGATAGTTCCTCCTCCTCCACTAGGTATTAGCATCTTAATGCTGGCATTGCTACTGTCCATAGTGTTCTTTGCTGGAACGATGTCTGCTGTAGCTGGCCTAGGGTCAGTGTTTGCTTTTAAGGGGGAATGAGTGTATGTGTGTTGGGGTTTGTCCCAAACACAGTTGTTCAGGTCCAGCAGGAGGTGACCCCAGTGCACGCAGTGATCCAGTAGCACGTTGTCCACTGCAGAGAACAGTGCTAAGGGCCTGTTGTCACGCTCCTGACTAGTCTCCATGCGAGCCAGCTTGCCTCCTCACAGCTGCTGTACTATTTGCAGTTGCCCACAGGCCCAGCTGCCCAAGAATGCAGCATGTGGCCCACTGTATTAAGGTGGTGCTGGCCATTGAAGATGTAGTTCCTGCAGCGGCAACCTAAGCCCAGGTGCAGCTTTAAGGCCCTCAGATATCTGGCAGATTGTAGCAGTTACTGGCACTAGTTCTGCTGGGTGATAAGGGGATCGTTCATGCCAAACCAAGCCATGGGGATTCTGTAAATTTATCTTAATAAGTAAATGTATCTGGGTTGCATAACATCCCCCGTTTGTACGTGCAGGGAGGAAGGTGCCCTTGGGCCAAAGTAGACAAATAATCTCTGAGAGCATTCATGCCTTATCTGGTCTCCTGAGGCAGGGCTGTTTGCTTTACTCCGTGCTCCTGCATATGGACAGACACGTATCAGGGTAGAAAAGGACAGCTGACTTTGATGGAAACATTGTGCACCCATCAGCATAGCGAGTTCGTCACCTCACGTGGGGCTCTAAAGATGAGGACTGGTTCCAAAGCAGCAGTCAGATGTGCTAGTGGCATCCTTCAGGACTGTAACACAGGCCATGGATAGCACGGAGAGGGGGAAGAAAACACTGAGGACTTTTCTTTTGAATGGCACAAAACAACCAAAAATGCCTGTGACTAGAGCGCAGGGCTGCCCGGCTCGCCCTGGGCTGAGCCGGCACGTGGCCGGGGAGCCGTGTGGTCACTGCGAGGGCAGCGGGTCCTTCCTGGGTCGCAGTTGTGTTTGAGATCTTGGGAGTCATACTTTGAGGGTTGTACCTCTTTGGCTTGCATAAATGTTAACTGTGAAATACTAGGACCAAAAATAGAAACTGAGTTTTCTCTTTGTTGTCACTGTTTAGAAGGCAGGATGCTTTGAAGCTTTAGCTTTTCTGCAACTGGGCATTAATGCCGTAGTGCAGGGTTCCGACTTCAAAGGGTACAAGCTGACAGGTCTGACTTTGAGGAGCAGTGCTGAGGACTCTTATCTTCCACCCAATTTTCAAGCCATTTGGCAGGAATGCACATAGATAGAAGTATCAGAAGCCAGGATTAATGATGTCATATAATGATTATGAATTAAAAGAGGGGACTATTTTGAAACGTGCTTGGTGTGGTTTGGGCCAAAGTATTTAAAAGATTCTACACGGGCTTTGCAGGGTATCAAAGGAGCTTGGTATTTGAAGGCTACACACAAATCAGTTTGAGGTCATTTCTGTCTTTGGCCAAGTGTGTGATGATGTGTTCGGGGAATAAAAAGCCTTGCCTTGCCTTTCTTGGGCATACATTACTACTGGTCAGAACTGCCCCGGGCACACTCGGGGTGTGCTGTGAGGGAATGCTCTCTATGGCCCTTGCTGCTGTGATAGAACATGAGCCCCTGCGTGGCACGTAAGGGTCCTTCAGTGCAGTGTGGTTTTGCTGAAGCTGCTGGTTTCCAGCCCCCAGGCAGGCCAGCTGAGTAGGCTCCTTGTACTTGAGGTTCACAACACCTTGCTCACACAGCTTTCCTTTTGCCTTCCCCTCTCTGTAGATCTAGTCAGAGGAAGTGCAGCTTGGGGAAGCCAGACCAGAGGGAGCTGAGTGAGAACCTGGCAGCAACGCAGGGCTTGGCCCACATGATAATGGAGTGCAACAGACTCTTCCAGGTACGTCACTTGCTGCAGCAAAGCAAAAGCCTGGAGCAGCGTAAGGAGTGTTCCCACACTGGCCAAGGCCCCGAGAGCCTCACGTAGGAGGCCTGCTTTGAGCAGCAGTTTGGGCCAGAGCCCTGCAGAAGTCCCTGCTAGCCCAGCTGTTTCTCTGAGCCTGTGATAGGCGTGAGTCCTGTTGACTCCAATACAGGGAGAATGAAAGTCACTGCAGATGTTACCGCAACTATTTTTAAGGGCTGTGACACCATTTTGCCATTCCCCCCTTCATCCCCCAGCTGCTATGGGGGTTTGACTCCCTGGGCTTGGGGCCGATTTAGAGAGGACCGGTGGAGCAGAGCCTGCCCCATGCTCCTGCAGGGAGGCCCCGGCCGGGGCCAAACATCTCTTCTTGTGGGAGTGGGGTTGAAGTTGAGGTTTTTGCTGTTGGGGGCGTGGCTGGAGCAACAGCCGTGCCTGTGCCTGGCCATGGACCCCAGTAACCTGGACCTGGGAACTTGACCCACAGACTGACTTCCCGGCTTGACCTCGGCCTATCCTGTCATTATGGCCTTGCCTGGCGATCACTAGACTGTGGCTGACCCTGGTTGCTGTCACTGGACCTGATCCTGACCTCCCTTGCTGACTCACCTTCCTGGCTCACCTTCGGACTGCATCACCATGGAAGTGTCTGATGATCTGGACTCTTGGCTGACATCTCGGGCCCAGCCCAGGTGCTGTGGGACCGGGTGACTGCCCTGCCAGCCCTGCTATCCCACTCGACTCCTGACCCCTTTCCCATGGGAGCCGCTGGCCCTTGGTGCACCCCAACAGTCAGATTGGACCTCTCGCGCTCCGCTCCAGCACCACGGCTGGGCATGGCCCCATGGCTGTCGCGTGGCTCCCCTGAACTGACACATGGCCCTGCCCCAGGGCTCACCCCAGCACTGACCCCACAACCAGCCCCTTGCTTCTAAGCGACATCCACCCCCCAGCCCAACCTGGGGTCCGATCCCTTCCACAGCATCAGCCTCCAACCTGCCCAGAGCTCCTAAGTGACTCTCTCCTCCACCTGCCCAACTGTGGGTCCCCGTTGCCTCAGCGGTGGCCTGAACCCCTCTGTCCAGCCCTGAGGCCACTTGGGGTGCCCTGATGCCTGCCCCACACCACACAATCAGCCCTGGCAGTATGGAAGCTGCCCCGCCCCCCCCCAAACAGCCCCACAGGTGCTCTGAGCTGCCCTTGGACCCATGGACATCCTGCACGCTGCTGCTGATGCCAGGGCTGTGAGCTGTGGGGCTGCCCCTTGCCAGGGGGTGCCGGGGCCTGGCTGGCGTGCCCCCTGCCCTGTGGGGAGGGGTTCGGTGCCGAGACGTGGGGATCACCTGGAGGGGGCTGTCCCCCTCCTGCTGGTGACCTCCAGGAGAGGCCGCAGGCAGCTCCGCGGGGCGGCCTGGGCCGTGCTCGTGCCGGGACACGCACCCGCTGCTCTGGACCCAGACCCGGAGGCTGACGTGTGGCCCTGCCTGGCCCCCGCGCCCGCGAGCGGCCGTCGCTGGGACTGTGGCTGACGCCGTTACCGCCACCGAGCCTGACCCCGGCCCCTGCCACCGCCACTCTCGGCTGGTCACCGCTGCCATCCCAGCCCGCCCTGCGTCTCTCAGGTACGGTGGGACAGGGGCGATGCCCAGCCCTCCCCCGTGCTCCTGCTGCTCCCCGAGGCCATGGTGGGGGGGCTCCGGAGGGGCCTGGCCTCCTGGGAGGAGGGAGGGCACGGCCCCCGCCTGGGTGCACACACGGGAGGTGGACGGGTAGCACAGGACGTGGTTTGGGCAGCACGGGTGGCTGTCACGCTGTTGTCGGCGTGGCACCGAAGCCAGGGCTGGCTCTGTTTGTGGGCAGTGTCCAGCCAGCTGTCGGGAGTGCGTGTTTGCACAGGTGTGTGCTGGGTCGGCGCCAGACCCTGGCACACTGGGTGCTGGGCGCTGTCTAGCGGTCACAGCCAAGCCCTCCCCCAGCTGTCTATATGGGGAAGAACCTGGGACACCAGATCAGTATATATGTTTCTGTATCTATATATGTATCTATACATATATATGTATGTACATATACACACATAGGCTTATGTCAGCAAGCACCCAAATGAAGTGCAACACCTACTCTAACGGCAGCAAAGCTGCGTTTCTGTGCTGCTTTATCTCACCCAGCAGAGTTTCTAACAAATCCCAAAGCACAGGCAGGAGCCACGGCCCACTGCCTTGCAGTTGGCTTTGCGGTTACAGGAGACTGATATGCACCCAGCAAGGAGGTTTGCAGACTAGGGATTCAAAACACTGCTGCTGTGGGGAAAGCCATTTCCCTTGTGTCGTCCTCTGAGGGAATGTAGCCAATTGATCTGCTCCTCCCCTGGGCTTCCTGCTTCTCCAGGTAAAACTGCTGCCCGTCTGCCTACGCCAGCATAGCTGGCAGCTGATGGTGCTGCTCCCACAGCATGCACCCTAGCGCTGCTCTCCTGAGGGGCACGCAGGAAGTCACCCCTTTTCTGAGGGCTGGTACAGGCCACCTGCACAGGGCAGTGATGCGGATGTATGTATTTGCTTGTAGCCGGTAGGTACACCCCACAGCCCGGGCTCCGGTGTCCTGGCAACTGGTGGTGTTTCACACCTCCCTGGTGTGCTACGTTACAGGTCAGACCTTGAACGTGATGTTGAATCTCTTTTGCAGGTACCTGACTTGCCTCGATCAGCTCACTAATGACTTCCATGCGACAAGCATCCTGAGCGCCAAGGCCTCACACTGCTGGGCTGGGCCGAGGCTGCTTGCCCCTAAGAGCTCTGTGCTCTGCAGAGGGATGCCAGAGACGACATCAAAAGCTGGGTGTTCCGCTCTCACCTGGCAAATAAGGTAAAGAGGAGGACAGGAGGCATCAGAATAAGGTTGGCTCTGGGAGTGTGGGTGACTGGTTGTAGGGTTTCCTGGAGATTTCTTGGGTGTTCTCAGTCCTTAAACTGCAGGCTGAAGCAGAGCTGCCTTGGGCATGGGTCTGCGGGGGTTGGTTCCTGCACAGAGAATTGCTTTGAGCTGTGCCCACGGCCCCTCTTGTCTGCCTCTGTACCTGCAGCTTCTGAAGCCATGCTCCTATTCTCTCCTTTTCTTACTTTCCTTCCTCCCTCCCCTCCTCCTTTCTTTCTTTCTTTATTCCCTTACTGCCTCTGTGCCTTTCATTCCTTCCTCCTGTTCTCCGCTAAGGGAGTGCCGCTCCCCTAGAGCACCTTCCCTTACCACGACCCCACCCCAACACACAGACACCTCCAGTTGTTTAGTCCCTTTATTGTCACCCCACAGGACACCGCTACATCCTCTGCACAGGCTTAATCCCCAGGATGTCGAATCCTTTGGCCATGATGGTGGCAGTGGCTTCGCACAGCAGCAGCCTCCACATGTTCACCTTCACGATCTGGCCTGCAAAACAACAGCAGAGGAGCTGGGGCACCTGCTCAGAACAACTAACGCCTCCTCCCCCAGGTGAAGCCCACAACCTGGCCCTGGGGCTGGGCACACCGAGCCCCCTCTCCAGCCCTCGTGTTTCCTGGTGCCTGGCTGCTCACCACTTCACTCAACCCTCCTGCTTCACAGGCAGGGGATGACAGAGGCTGTGCCAGCCACCTTCAGTCCTCCCAGATGGACGTCTCTTGTTCCGCGGCAGCAAGTAGCGTGACCACAGCCTTCCCAGCACAGGGAAACACCCTGCAGATTGCCTGCACCATGGTATGTGACACCCGCACATGCAGCACCCCTCGGTCAACTCACCACTCTGCCTGTCCTTCTCAACGCAGTAACAGTTGTCGTAGAACTCGGTGAAGGTGGTGGCCAGCTCATAAAGGTAGTCACAGAGCGTGTGCAGTAACAAGTCATCCAGGATCTTCTGCAGGATCTCAGGGAACCTCAGAATGCACTTGCCCAGTTTCCACTCCTTCTCATGGTCAAGGATGAGCACCTCCTCCCTGGCTGCCTTCCGCAGCATCTGCTCATCGATACTGGCCAGGCGAGCAATAGCCCTGAAATGATCCAAACCACGGTCTGCTTGTGCGGGTCCCACGGCTCAACCTGCCCCAGGGCCAGCCTGCAAGTCGCGTGTCTGGCCTGGCTCAGGGCCACCCGCTGCTCTCCTCACTTGCCCAGTCCTGGGTTACCAGGCCAGAAGAGAGCAATCAGCCCTGGGACGGCACGGGTGGACCCAGCAGGCACTGCAGGGAACAGGGAGGGATGTGCTCTGGGCACGGGTGTCGGCAAGGACAGCTGATGCTGCCAAGCAAACCAGGGCTCAGGGTGCTGGAAAAGCTGTGGGGGGCACGGCAACACCTGAGGTGAGCAGCTGCTGGAACACAGGCTCCCTCCTCTCCAACTACCTAAATCCTCTAATGGAACTACCAGGAACTCCCACAGTTCCCTCCCGGCTAGCTAAAAGCCCGGGATGCACGTCACGCAGAGGAGCCCTGTTTCAGATAGCAGAGGACACCATTTCCAATGACAAATAAAATCTTGGCTGTGGTGCATACCAATGTGGTTGGCTTCTCTTACCAACTACCCCTAACAGCACCGAGGCACCAAGTCACCCCTTTCCCCACATCTCCCTTTGCGATAAAGATGCAGAGAGCATCAGAGACCAACTCCAAGCAACTCCCTGCGCACTTGACTTACCTGATGCGTGTGAAGGCATACAGCAAATACGCAGCTGTGTTCCCTCGGTCATCCAGCATCTTGTCAAAGGAGAATACGTAATCGTTTAGTCTGTTGTGGGAGAGATCTGCATATTTAATACATCCAAAAGCAACTGACGTCTGGGCAGCTTTCAGCTCTTCTGCCGTGAGGACCTGTTGCAATTTCAGAACAGACAACAGTTAAGCGGAAGAATGCTACGTTGGCATCGTGAACCACAACAGGCAGCCTCGGCCACTCAGCACAGCTCAAGAGGAAAGCCCAGGCTGCTGAGAGGGTTTTACCCACGCGGTACTCAGTGAAAGGCTCACTCCCACTCTTCCACCTCTGGGCACCAGAAAACCCCAAATCCACCCCTCACTTCTGCAGTCAAACGGCACTGCGGCCCTGCCCAGGTTAAGGCTGACCCCCTCTACTCCTGAGGGCCTGCAGGGCTTCTCTGCCCCATGATGCCATACAGGTTTGGTGCTCTCACTGTGCTCCTGCTTCCTACAAACTGCACGTACAGATAACAAACCCCTGGCCCTCCTGCCCTTATAGAGCATTTTGGGCAGTCCAAACACTCACAAAACCCCTCTCTGGTGGAGCAGCGCCCCGGCATGGCATGGCAAAGCACTTCGTGTCTCATATGAGCCCTTAGGAGATTTTCAAGGTGTTTTTTTAATGTGCTTCCTCATGTTCCTGTTTAAAAAGGGACCTTTCACTTTCACCCTACGCTGCTCAGCACCAAGGAGCTGCGCTTCCCAACTCCACTGCCTTACACAGTGCTTGGACAGGAGTTTGGTCCTTCTGTTCCCTTCCATGTCCCACATTGTCTGGTTCTCTCCAGGCCATCGGGATCCAAGACAGAGAAAAAACTCATTAAGCAAAGGGCTTCCAGCAAACTCAGCCACAGCCTCCAAGGGAAAGGGTGACGCCTGGTGCCAAAGCCCCCCGCAGATCCCTGACCATCCATCACCAGCACTAACCCAGCAGGCCAAGGCTGCAACTTTATATTCTGTCACCACCTCCTGCATCCTGGGGCAGTCACCGCTGTTGCCATCACACCAGTGAGACCTGATGGTACCTGCAAGGCCAGCTGCCCTGCCAGGCCCCCACAACCCACGGCATCTCCTGGGCAGTTTGGCAGTGTCCGTGTTCTCAGCTCACATCCAGAATGTGGAAACCGTAAGTCTGTGAACAAATCTGGGAAGTTCCCAGGGAAGATAAACAACTTGTCACAACTACCTTGTCCCGTTCCTTGTCCTTCAGCTTGTCCATGGCTCGTTTCAGTCCTTCTTCCAGCAGATCTATAAGACGCACTGTATCCCCTGAACGAGTTTTGAACTTCTTCCTGAAAACACACAGCCAAAATGACCTGCATAAGGGCAAAACACTTCCACAGCACATGGGAATCTCAGAGAACGCCCATGGAGTGGCTGGGGGGGTGACCGGAATGGCTCCAACAGTCAGAACCGTCTCAGTTCCAGACATTAGGCAGGACACGATACCAGTGCCACAGTCCTGCCCAGCCCAGCAAGTCACCTTTAATTTTGTAACAAAGCTACAGCAAAGCCACCCAGTCCGCAACAGCACAGGACCCTCGGAGCGCACGGGTTTAGCTACACCTTCACAGAGACACAGGAACAACTCTGGAGCACAAGGCCTGCCCTGCAGACCAGGATGCAGAGGTTCTTTTCCCAACTTTCATTTCATCCACTATGAGGCAAGTAGACAAAATGGAAATCATGGCCTTTACTGTTGCCATCTCCCAGTATTCACATCTGCTTCCACTGCACTTCCACTGCACCATTCCCAGTGCCCCTCCGCAAATGCCAGACAGCAGAATCGAGGCCCCAGAGGGAACCTGACCACAGCACCAGTGACTGGGGGGGTCAGGGACCATGACACACAATGAAATGACACAGTTATGAGTAACGGCATGGCGTGTGGTGCTTTTTTTTCCTGGCATGCCACATACAGACTTGTCAACAAACGACTAAGTCTTCTGCATTCACTCAAACATCCTCTTCAGACCACATACAGAGGAAAAACTACATCCAAAGACTTACTTGTCTTCTCCTAGCACCACTCCGAACGCAGCATGGGCCACTCTGGTTACTTTAGGATCATACCAGCCGATCATCTGTCCTGCTGCAAACACTGTTTGTAAATGCACCGACTGCAAGGAACAAGTTACAAGAACTGGTTCTCAACCTGCTCCTCTAGGTACAGTTTTCTTCCCTGCTTTATCTCCTTCACAATGCTGCTTTCACAATGAGACTTAAAATGTTTCTAGCTCCACAGACAAATTCCACTGCAGAAAGTTCAGCCTTTCAGTTTTTCTGGCGTACAGAAGTAGAAACTGGCAAATCCCCATCACTGCTCAGATACAGAGCTGACAACCTTGCATTTCCTCAGGTGAGAAGAAATCCAAGTATAAGCAGTATAAATCTAATTCCAGCCTCATCTACTGGGATTTAGTCTTCACCCACCTCCAGTGGTAACTGAGTGTCTCCCTGATCAGTCAGTTCTAGGGGCTCTTCAGGGAGACTGCCAGCCACCAAACTAGACTCACCATTACATCGGTAAGGACGAGAGTAAATATGTCAACCAGACTAAAATCCCTACGGTTAACCAGACTAAAACCCCTGAAGTTACTGTTGCATCTGTCATTTAACACACTTTCTGATGATCTGCAGTGACAGCAGAGGTTGGCACGCTCACCTGGCCGCTATCGACAACATAAATAAGGATATCGGCCTTCTCTTCACACAGCCGGTGTTTAAGAGCAGCTAAGTCAGATGTGTCATATGTGTAACCTCCATCTGATTTCATGATCGTCAATGGGACGGGGAAACCTGGGACAAACACGATCTTCCGGCCGTCATCAACCTGGACAAATCCTAGAAAAGCAATGGAAATCATTCTGTGTGATACTGCACTGGGAGGTTTGCGGGCCAGCACAGGCAGAAACACTTCCCAGATGCTACCAGAAAGAAAAGGCCATGCACTCACATTATCAAATAATGGCTCAAATTATGAAAAAAACCCCTAAATAAGAACTCCCTCGCCAACTGTCACATTCTGTACTGTGCTTCCAGAACTCAACACCCTGCACAAGGAAGCAGAACTGTACAGATTTGGTCTTACCAGAAAAGACCCAAATGGATTTAAAAACTCCCGTCACTGGCATCCGGA